CCAAAAATCTATAAGAAACACCTCATCTGATTAAAAGAAACATTTTTTTGTATATCAATATCATCTTTATTCACAGTTTGTTGATGTAGTACAATTTATAGACGATTTTATCGATAGTGTCGAAAATGTGATACGTAGTTCACATCAATTTCTAAAATTGATGTTGTCGCTAGCGTACGGCGATTTCGCCTGTCACGCGAAAAAAGCCGCCATGTAGAGATGGGCAAAAATTACGAAAAAATCGATCTCAGTGAATCGATTAATCACAAGCATTCGATCCCAAAAATCGATAAATTGGATGAAAAAGATCGATATTTGTCTAAATTGATCTCTTTTTAAAGAAAATTTTTGAGGTATACCCTTACGAAAAAAACTCTAAAAATTTCGAAAAAACACTGAAAATTCTATAGTGCACGTGACGTAAACTATAGAATTTTCAGTGTTTTTTCGAAATTTTCAGTGTTTTTTCCATAAATAACTTAATGGCTTGGCCTTCTGTAAAGTTTCTATCAATGTCAAGTTACGAATGTTAGATTTAACTGGCTTTGTAGGAGGAGAGTTATTTGCAAGGGCAGTGCTAGTATTTCTAGTATTTGTACTACTGGTATTAGATAAAAGAGAAGAAGGATTATAATCTGTTATGGTCTGTATCTGTGCGATGAAAATAAAAAATAGGTTTAAAATAAATCGAATTAAATTCAGTCGGTGTTTTTTGGCTTGAAATCGAAATGTGTTTATATTTACATCTATTATCGTTCCTACTCCTTCGTTGCTGTTTTGTCGTAGCGTGCGACTCTCGGTCTCAAGGACAACACTTGTTTAAAATCGTTAAAAGTTTTTGACCTGTGTCTTTCACTATGTTTAAAAGTATTCTGTTATTCATATACGAACAATGCTATTATGAATAATATTATCTTATAATATTAGTAACAGAATACTTTTGAACATAGTGAAAGACACAGGTCAAAAACTTGGTAATTATTCAGTTTAGCTACCCCATCTAAAAAATCAATAAAATTAAACTTATTCGACGCGTTTTTGTATGAAACGAAAAAATCTGGTAAAGACAAGCGTCGCTCTGCCCTGTGAGCCGAGATCTTAAGCGTTAAGGCTATCGCACATGAAATGCATAACAGAGCATAAGCATAACATAAGACTGCTGGACCAATGAGTATCTAGCATAATGTCGCCATATTGATTTACATAAGATGCTCATTGGTCCAGCAGTCTTATGTTATGCTTATGCTCTGTTATGCATTTCATGTGCGATAGCCTTTACCCCGGATCTACAATAGGGTTTTAAGCCTTAAGAGGATGCTGGAGTGACGG